TGGCATGACCTCTGCCGCTCTGTTTTTATCAGGAAAGACTAAGCCAGCACACACACTAGGAGTTCTTCAGGGTGGGGGAGAGCGTTCATAGCACACAGTCATCAATTCGCCTGGTGAGGAACGAGTAGGCAAATGAGAACAGAGGCAGTATCATTAGACAAGGAGCCAATCACCTTAAGTTCTGGTTTAGATTCTGTCACAATTCTTTTCACATGTAACCTGAAAAGAATATTCTAGATGATCTGTCAAGTTCTTCTCGATGGTTTCTAATACTAATTCACACAAAAAGGGCAGTATTAAAAATATTCTTTATTTTCTTACTTCTCCTTGGAAACAATATATCGTATAATAAAAACAGGCTGTATTTTGAACTATAAATTTAACAGAGCACATTCAATTTGAAAGTTAATAATTTGACTAGAGCAAATATTTTCTACTTCTAGCATGACAATTTTTTAAAAAGTTTTATTTGCATATACTTCACATCTCATACAATTGAATTGTTCATATTAAGAAGAGCAGTGTTGTCATAACCACAATCAATTTCAGACATTTTCTTCTCGTTCTAAAGCTCCCCATATCCCCTTAACCTCCCCTGCTATGCCCTAGGTAATTATTAATCCAGTTACTGTCTCTATCGATTTACCTATCATGGATTCCATATACAGAAAATCATACAAAACACAAACAGGAAGCAAACACACAAACGAAAAACCAACAACAAATGACTAGACAGAGGAAAAAACCTCAATCGAAAAGAAAGCAGAAAGTATTAAAAACTAAAAGAACCTTAAAATGAGTCAAACAGGAGATCCAATTAAATGTGTCATCAACTTTACCATGCTCTCTGAGCATGACACAATGATATTCCTCTTCCAGTCTCTACTACCCAAAGGGCTGGAGAAGCGAATCCACCCAGGGGCCGATGGACAAAGAGCCCGGGGAGCCATGTTGGGAGGACTGCAGCCTTTGACACCAAGGGCTGCAAGTCTGCTCTGATACACATGGGAGTTGCCTTATGTCAGCATCGACTCAATGGCACCCAGTTCTGTTTTTATGCCTATTTTCATTTAACAATATTCTAGATGACCATTTCATGACATTAAATTTTATGGCCAATCGATGAGACAAAACCAAAGGAAATGAAGAAGAACAAGAAAGGAAAAGGGCAAGTCTTATCTTTCCGTTTACTGGGCATGAGAAGTCCCTCCAGCCCCTCGGGAGCCTTTGTTTTGAAGCTGTCAGTACTGACTCAACTGCTAGAGCTCTGCTTTTACCTTTCACTTTTTAAGAGTACAAATATGCATATTAGTTAATCAATCAAAAAGGACAAATGGAGAGTGAAAGGGAAAACCATTGAAGTAGCAGCTGAGCTGATACAAACAGCTGTCGAGACCACCGGAAAGGACAACTTTTCACAGTGCCTGGAATCAACAGTGACATCTGACATCGAGTAAAGGCTTTGTTTCCTTTTGTGTTTCTTTGTAAATAGCAGCACTGGTTTTCCCTTTCACCATCTATGAATCAAATTTTTGGTTTGGATCACTGGACAAATGAGGCCTGGGATCACAGTCAAATCTTTTTTTTTTTTTTCACAGTCAAATCTTACAGTGAGTTGTAGAGCCATGACTAATCATGCCAAACTGCATGGCTTGTTTTAAATTGTTTGGTCTGTGTTGAAAAAGCACATGGAAATAAAGGATGCTGCCGCTCAGCACGGAGGTGCACTGGCAGAAGTGTGCGAGGCGGTTTGCACGGGGCTCCCCGCACACCTTTGAGCTCCAGCCAGTGCTACTAAATCTCCTTTCTCTCTTTTTTTTTGAGTACCACACCATCCCCCAAGTAGGAAAAGCAAACTTAGAATCAAGTTCATGAGACATTTTGTTGTGAAAAATCAAAAGTGAAGAGTAAAAGCCAAATCTACTGAGCCAATAGTGACAGCTTCTACTGGTCCAAATTCGTAAAGGGGGATTCTGGAGGTTCTCCTGAAATGGAAAGAGAAGAATAGAAAAAAGCATTATACGAAAATGCTTTAGTAAGTTGCAAAAGCTACATCTAAAACGTTTTAGGAAACACAGTTCTATC